TGGGTGTAATTAGGTTTGGTCAGAACCTGTAGCCTAGAATTTGAATTGGAAATATCAGTGAGAGTTCCTAAAGTATTTTAGCTTAAAAACTCTCTGTGTGTGTGTGCGTGTGTGCATATGCATGCATTTCCTTGCTTTGTCCCCTGAAAAGGCCAAGAACAGTGATGCCCAGTCATAAAACAGGGCTGGGGCAGGAAATGTACCAATTGAGGCAGGAATACCTTCCAAAGGACTCAGGAAGCAGCTAGCAATAGAAGCCCTCACTGACCAAAGAAGGGACATTGTGGAGATGATGAATGCATTGTAAGGACAGTGACTACGGTAGACTGAGGCCCTATATAAATATTTAAATCCATGAGCTCATAAAGATATTTTTAAAAAGTCATCATTTTATTGCTTCTCAGCCTTTTGGCTAAGATCAAGTATAAAAAGTCATTTTGATATCAAAAGCATAAGCGACAAAAGAAAAAATAGACCAGTTGGACTTTATTAAAATGAAACACATTGTTGCTTCAAACTGTACCATCAAAAAAGTGAACAGGCCCAGCCAGTGTGGCTCAGTGGTTAGATATTGACCCATACACCAAGAGGTCACTGGTTTGATTCCCGGTCAGGGCACGTGCCCGGGTTGTGGGCCAGATCCCCAGTGGGGGGCATGCAGGAGGTGGCCAGTCGATGTTCTCTCTCATCGATGTTTCCATCTCTCTCTCCCTCTCCCTTTCTCTATAAAATCAAGAAAGAAAAAAATAAAAAAAAATAAGAACAAAAGAATAATGTATGTTGGCACTAGTGAGTGTTGGGAGTCGGAACATGGGAGAAAGGCAATGTGGGTGTAATTAGGTTTGGTCAGAACCTGTAGCCTAGAATTTGAATTGGGAATATCAGTGAGAGTTCCTAAAGTATTTTAGCTTAAAAAAATCTCTGTGTGTGTGTGTATGTGTGTGCGTGTGTGCATATGCATGCATTTCCTTGCTTTGTCCCCTGAAAAGGCCAAGAACAGTGATGCCCAGTCATAAAACAGGGCTGGGGCAGGAAATGTACCAATTGAGGCAGGAATACCTTCCAAAGGACTCAGGAAGCAGCTAGCAATAGAAGCCCTCACTGACCAAAGAAGGGACATTGTGGAGATGATGAATGCATTGTAAGGACAGTGACTACGGTAGACTGAGGCCCTATATAAATATTTAAATCCATGAGCTCATAAAGATATTTTTAAAAAGTCATCATTTTATTGCTTCTCAGCCTTTTGGGTAAGATCAACTGTAAACAGTCATTTTGATATCAAAAGCATAAGCGACAAAAGAAAAAATAGACCAGTTGGACTTTATTAAAATGAAACACATTGGTACTTCAAACCACAACATCAAAAAAGTAAAGAGGCCCAGTCAGTATGGCTCAGTGGTTGAGCATCAACCCATGCATTAAGTGGTCACCTGTTTGATTCTCAGTTGGGGCACAGGCCCAGGTCGTGTGCTCCATCCCCAGTAGGGGGCATGCAGGAGGCAGCTGATCTACAATGTTTCTATCTCTTTCTCTCCCTTCCTTTCTCTTTATAAAGTCAATAAAAAACATATTTAAAAACAAAGAAAGTGAAGAGTATCCACAGAATTAGAGAGAATCTTTATCAATTACATGTCTGATAAGGGTCTAGTATCCAGAATCTATAAAGAACCCTGACAGCTCAATAATAAAAAGATAAGAATCTGAATAGACTTTTCTCCAAAGAAGGTACATAAATGACCAATAAGTGCATGAACGCAAGCTCACCATCATTAGTCATCAGGGAAATGCAAACTGAAATCCCAGTAAGATCCCACTTTATACACACTAGGATGATTATAATAAAAAAAAAAAGGAAAATAAGCCACATTGGTGAGGTTGAGAAGTTGGACCCCTCATGCACTGCTGCTGGGGATGTAAAATAGTGCAGCCGCTGTGGAAGACAGACCGGCTGTTCCTCAAAAGGGTAAACCTAGAATTACCACATGACCCAGCAATTCCACTCCTAACTGTGTATCCAAGAGAACTGAAAACTTATCTCTACACAAAAACTTGTACATGAGCAGGAAGTAGTATTCTTAAGAGCCCAAAGTAGAAAGAACCCAAATTTTTATTAACTGGTGAATAGATAAACTAATTAGCAATAATAAAGAACAAACTACCAATATATGCTACAATGTGGATGAACCTTGAGAATATTCTGCTGAGTGAGAAGTTCACATAGGGTATGATCCCATACATATGAAATGTCCAGAAGAGGCAAATCCATAGAGAAAGGGGACCAGTGGGTGCCAGGGGCTAGGGTGGGGGGCATGGGAAGGGACTACCAGTGTGGATGGGGTTTCTTTTGTGGGTGATGGAAATGTTCTGGACTTACACACTGGTGAGGCTGCACAGCTCTGCGACTATCCTAACAACCACTGAACTGTGCACTTAAAAAGGGTGAATTCATTTTTAAAATATATTTTTATTTATTTTTAGAGAGAGGAAGAGAGAAGGAGAGAGAGGTAGAAACATCAATGAGAGAGACACATTGATTGGCTGCCTCCTGCATGCCCCCCACTGGGGACCGGGCCCACAACCTGGGCATGTGTCCTGACAGGGAATCGAACCAGTGACCTCTTGGTGCATGGATCGACACTCAGCCACTGAGCCACACCAGCATAGGGAAGAGGGTGTCTGGGGGATAAAGGAGAAACATCTGTAACAAAAAATAATTAATTAATTTTAAAAAGGGGTGAATTCATGGTGTGCGCATTATATCTCAGTTAAAAAAAAAACTAACAGTGCAGCTGAAGAAAAGGAGCATATCTGTAAGAGCAGTGCTTTAGGCTCAAGAACAGTGAGAACAGCTCTGAGGTGGCACAGGCTTGGTCTGTTCTAGAATCAGCCTGCTGGACACTTTGGCTGGAGTGGAACTGGGGGATGGGCCATGTAGGACGTGGTAGGCCTGGGGAGGCCTTATGATGTTCTTTTCTATGTGGTGGGTGACCACTAGAGAGCTTCTGTTCAGTAGCACAGAGATGGCTGTGGCTGGGTGGCCTCTAGAAGACCTGTTGGCAGGCTGCAGCTATGCCCAGGCACTTGGGTACCGGCTTGGGTAGCTGCTGTAGCAGAGGCAGTGGAGGAAGCAGTTGGGTTCGGCTGTGCCCACCAGGTTTGCTAATGGAGGGAGTGGGGTGGGGCCCAGGAGAGGGAGTCCTGCCTGGTGCAAGGGGAGATCTGGGGTCTCTTGGATTTACTCTGCAAACCTTTCCAAGTATCCTCGCTGGGGAACAGAGGGGAGACAGATGTGATGAGGCCCCTACCTTGTGTTGCTCCTGGGTCATTAGAGGCTATGGATGGATTTCAGCAAGGTGGCTGCAGTCCAGCCTGGGGACTCTTAGATCTTAGAGGGGCTGGGCCCTGATAACCCACAAAGGACCTCTGTGGTCCAGGCCTGTGTCCAGGGGAGCTCATAGGGAGACATAGGCCAGGAGGACCCAGTGGGTAAGTGCCACAGTACCAGCCCAGCCCCAGGCTGGCAGAGCTCTGAGTACAGGCACCTATCCCTTCCTGGCATTGGGAGGGACTATGGGAGCTGGGTCTATGCTGGGGAGGGGATGGCAGGCAGGGTGTCCCAGTCCTGGCCACTGGTCAGAGCTTTGTGAGGTCCTGAGTGATAGTTCCTCTCATGTTTCTGTCTGGGCTATCCCCTCTCTAGACAGTGTCCCCCCTCCCCGTCTCCTACTCCTAGGCTGCCCTTTAAGTGTGTCACTTTGGCTCAGTGTCATGTGGGCAGATTGGGAGAATGAGTCAATAGGAGGTAGTTATGAGGCCTGAGAAGCCAGTGGCAGGCTGAGGGTGTGGAGCTGGAGATGCCAGAAGCTTCCAGAGACACCGGTCCTGTAGACATGGCCACACAGCTGGAAGCCAGCCTTGCAGGGAGTTCCAGGCAGCTGCAGCCATGAGGCCCAGCACCCGTGGACGCGGAGCTAGGCTGTAAGCATTATAGCAGAGCATGCCCCTGTCCTCGGGTCTACTCCCCACCCAGGGCCACCTGGCCTAAAATCATCAGTAGCCTCCTGGCCCATTGAGTTCAGCTTGTGCCTTCCACACCCACTTTAAGTGCAAATGCTTTTTGGAGGGCTTTAAGTCTCCAGGGAGGCTGTCTGAGTGAATCATTCTGGCACATTCCCAGAATAGTGGGTGTGTAGGGCAGGGCAATGAGGAGCTAAATGGAGCTGCAGGCCCAACTTTCTTTCTGGCAGCCTTGCTCACAAAGAGCTCTCTGGGGCAGGCCGGGCCTCAGGTTGTAAGTGGGTCCTGGGCATCGGCTCCTTTTTCTGGAAGGAGGAAGGAGTTGTACTTCTGAAGCCGTGAGCTCCTGGCTGGGCAGCTGCCTGCTAGGAATCCCAGCCATCTTTAGGGCAGGGGACTAACTCAGCTGCTGCTTGGGGACCCTGGCTATAAGGCCGGCCGCTTGCTACTTGTCAAGGACAAGTCCTTGTTCCTGTGAGGAGCAGCGGGGTCAGCACAGGCCTCTTCCTCAGCCCCATTTTGCTGTGTCAGTCAGCTTTGGTCATTGCTGGCCGAGAAGGGTTGTCTGCCGAGAAGGATGGACCTCCTCCTGGAGATGTTCCTGAGAAACAGGCTACCATCAGGTCCCTGTAGGCTGTGTTCTGCCTTCAACAGACCCTGCTGCACCCTGCACGCCCACCCAAGAAGCTGCACTGTTGGATGGGTGATGAGCACACACTCCCATATGTTTCTGTAGCACTTGTCACTTCCAGAGTCGTCCCAGGCATCATTGCAGCCCAGAGCTGGGCCTGAACAGGGAGTGCTCAATGATAGCAGCCCCCAAGACTAAGGTCCCGGAGCCTGTCCAAGACGTTGCTGGGTGGGGACCAGGGAGCTGGAGGCCCAGGCTTCTCCTTTCCACCAGCTGCAGCAGGGTAGGGTATGGGGCGGGGGCACCCAGCATGCCTTGCCAGTGAGTGCATGTGGTGTTTTCTGCCTAGGGCCTGGCCTGCGCCCAGAAGCAGTTGCATTTCATGGACCAGCTGCTGGACGTAGTCCGGAGCCTGACCATCAGACGCTCCAGCTACTCCAGGTACAGGCTTGGAATAGGCCCTCCATAGAATGGCCAGTAGGTATCCTTGGTTCTCCTTCTGGAGCTGGTGGGCCCGGGGGCCTGCTCGGTACCTGGCCCTGCCGCCAGGCATATCTCGAGCTGGGGTTTCACTCCCCACCCTGGTGGCCGCAGCTGCATACTGGCCCAGGTACCAGGCTGTCAGGGTGAAGGGGTTGGGTCTGCTGAGGAGAGTGGGTGCTTGGGCTGTCCCTGCTGGTGGGCAGATTCTCAGAGGCATGGGGCTCAGTTCCAGCTACCAAAGCAGGAAGGGGCTGGAGGAGACCCCTTCTCTTGGCCTCTCGGCTAGCTCTTGTTTGGCCTTTTGAGTTTCCGTGTGGGACCTCAGCAAGGCTGCCAGCACAGTCCCTGACACTGTTCCTGCCTGTGATTGTGTCCCTGGGGCTGCCTTCGCAGTGTGCAGGAGCAGTTTGAGGACACCAAGCAGAAGAACGAGGAACTACTGGGGGACCTTCACTCCAGCTCCCAGCTGAAGACTCTCCTGAGCCCTGAGTGTGACCCAAGTTCCCTGGACACGCAGCCCCCTGATAAGCAGGGTGATGATGGACAAAGGTATGGATCCTGCATGGTTCTGTGATATAGGAGAGACTGTTCCTTCCATAAGTGGCCTGTGACAGAAGTGTCTCCCATTCTCTCCCTGCAGGGTCAAGCCCTCTGTGGAGTTGAAGGATCAGAAGGTGCCAGAGCTGGCCAGACAGCTGCAGGAGAACATAGCCAAGCTGCAGGCACTGCGGGCGGAGGTGAGGGTGCTGGCTCCCAGGGCCTCTGGCGCCCCTTCTTTCCAATGAGCATGTTGGGAGATTTAAGTGAAGTAGCATGTGCGCGGGGCCTGATGGGCTCTAGAATGGAGTGGATGCTCAGCTCACATGAAGGGGAGAGACAGACAAGCTCTGGGCAGGAGCTGGGAGGCTTCCTGCAGAATGGAAACGATTGGCCTCAGGTGGGCTTCATGCCAGGCCCTGAGCTCCAGGTTTCATGCGTTGCCTTGCATGTGACCTCCCCGCAGCCCTTGGCCTGGCTTCCTTATTTTCCTGAAGAGGAGACTGATGCCCACACTGGCTGCAGTGGCAGGGCTGAGGCCAGAAGCCAGTCATCTTTGCTCGAAACCAGGTTGTTCTTTTCTGCCTCTGGTCTTAGAGTCTCCTGGTTTTCGGAAGCCTGGGGTGGCCGCAGACCCTGCTCCTTGATGGGTGGAAGGGACGTGATGCCCCATGAGCAGGCAAGGTAGCCTGAAGGGACCCTCTCCCTCTGGCTTTGTGCAGCATAAGCAGGCGGTCGCTGTAGGTGGGGCCGACACCAGCACCCTGGACCAGAAGCTGCGCCTGGTCATCTCTGACTTCCACCAGCTCGTCCTGGCTTTCCTCCAAGTCTACGACGATGAGCTGAGTGAGTGCTGCCAGCGCCCAGGCCCCTACCTTCACCCGTGCGGCCCCATCGTTGAGGCTGTGTACCAGACTCTGACTTCATGCCGCCAAGTAAGAATCACCCTCTTCCCTCCCACTGTTGCCCCCAGCGAGGGACCTGAGGGCTGGGATAGGGGGCTGGGAGGGGCTTGGCCCAGGCTCCCTGTGAGCAGGTGGCATGGCTGGGTTCCAGGCTCCAGCTCTCGGCCTGGGATCTTCAGTGGTTCGGGGCAGGAGATTCTCTTGGCTCATGGAGGGGATGAGGGCTAATGTGGGTGGACCCTTCAGGGCCCCACTGCACTTCAAGGGGGTGTTAATTGAGCCAAGACCTTGTGCACTGCCTGCACTGGGTCCTAGTTCTCTATGATACCCTTGCTCTCACTGGCATTTTTATTGTGAGCATTGTTGCATATTGTTCTGACTTCTTTAAAAGCATGATCTTAGTGGCTGCAGAGTAATTCATTCCAGTTTCTGTCCTTGTATTTGTCTCATTCTGTCTTCCCGAGACACCCAAATGTATCATGGCCTGTTTGTTCTTATGTGTATGATCAAGAACTATGCCAGACAGGCAGATGCTTGCCTGTTTGTACCCTTGACTAAGCTCAGAGAAACAGGAAAAAGTGGTCTCATGCTGCCGAGCCGACTATTTGAATATTTACTCATTTTGTTGTTCCACATTTCAGACTCCCAGTGCCAACCTACATGCAGGCTTTGGTTATGAGTATGAGCACAGTTGCCACATGTGGAAGTCTGACATTGGCTCAGGGCTTCTACAACATTAGTCTTGGTTATTGAATGGAAAGGCTCCTAGACTTCCAAACCTCTGGTCAGCCTGTCCTTTGTGACTCTGCCAACAGGGCTAGTTGAGGTACAGTCCTCCCCCATCAGAAAGGTCCTTTTATTTGGGAACATTGATTCCCCACCGTGCCACTGACTTTGCTTGGCTACCAGTGTGGGAGGGGACACACGATAGTGTGGCATCCCCGCTGGGCCAGGAAGAAGGAAGTTAGGTTGGAGAACTCTGATTGGTGATTTTCCAGGTACCTGGGAGTCCTGTTGTCACCCATGGGTGTCCTTGGGGGTGAATGCCACATGCTTGAGGACCTCAGGAGGAGCACACGCTAAATGTAAACATGGGTGGGAAGCAAGAGATACCTTTTATAGGTCAGATCTCAGCACTTAATGCCCATATGTGTCCCTCCCTCCCAGCTGTTGAAAGCAGTGGTGGCGGTCTCTGACACCTCAGCAAGCGCTGTACAGACTACGAAGCAGCAGCAGGGTGAGCAGATCAGTTGGAGCAGCGACAGCGTTGTGAAGAGTGTAGGTACGTGGTCACCACCTTCGGCGGCTCTGGTTGGCTGCTCAGCAGTCACGGACAGGGCCGTCCCAGTGCACCTTGGCTTAGCACCTGCCTCATGCCGGTGTTCCTTCTGTGCTCAGCCAGTATTTGGGGAACATTTGGGGACTGGCCCCTCACTTCTTTCTTCTTTTTCTAATGCAGTTTTCCTTCCCTTGAAAACATGCTTTTGACAGATTATAAAATCAGAACATTAAATTGTAGAAATTTGGGAATACTCAAAGATGAGCAGAGGTAAAATAAAAACAATCCATAACCTGGTGGCCCAGAAATTGTCAGTGTTAATATTTTGGTCTATTTCCCTCTATTCTTTTTCCTCTCATAATTTTTTTTTGATTTCTTTTTATGAGTTAAGTGTGATACACGTGTACACTTTTATATTTTTATTTTCTTTCCCTTGGACCTCATTATAAGCATTTTTCCATGTTCTTGAAGTCGCATTTTTAATTATCAAACACTATTCCATTCAGCCATTTGCTTATCATTTTCTGTTACTGAGCCTGTAGGTCATTTTCAGATTTTAACTATAATTCATAATGCAGGATTTATAATAGTGTAAGACAAAAACAAGAAGCTTTGCTATTGGGTAACACTCAGGTAGGTAATGGTATATGTATATGGTGAAATAATATTCATTGTTTCAAAAGTTGGTGATGACACCATGAGGAAATGCGTGTTGTAGAATGTTGAAGGGAGAATGCGGGGTGAAAAGGAATACACAGTGCAACCTCACCTTTCCGAAGGAAAACAGCCCCTTGCAGGAAATGGGCCAGAACCTGGACATTGGTTTTCTCCCTGTTGGATTCAGAGGTGGTTTAGTTTAATTTCTGTTTCTTCATCCTGCCTTGTAGTCTTCATATATTCCCCCATTAAATGCATATTACTTAGGTTATTCTTTCATTGTCAGTCTTTTAAAAAGGATGCAGTGAACGTGTTTATATATAAAGTGCGTTCCCACTTTAGATTCGGTCCTTAGGATGGGTTCCTGAGGTTGTGGTGGTGGGGCCAGGCTCATCACCGTTCGCAAGGCCATCCGGTTTCCATTTTTCTGTATCCTTATGAGTGTGGGATTTGATCCTTCTGACATTTCCACTACTGAACAGGGGCACACATGTAGCTTAATTTAGTTTCAATTAAACTTTTTTTTTCTGAGTAAGTTTATTTTTTTTATTTTGGAAATGTACACTGAGAAAACGCTTTCTTTGGTAAGAAATATGGCCTTTAGGGAGGAGTCAACTCAAAAGGATAGGAACATGAAATAGTTGGATATTTTCCCTGTGTCACTCCCCCCCAACCTCCCTTTATTCCAGTTCAAATGATTTTAAAGTGAATACTTGTGTAACCATGACCCAGGTTGAGAACTAGAACATGCCTACAGCCAAGAAACCCTTCATGTGGCTCTTCCTGCTACAGCTAACTGCTGTCCTGACTTGGTGATACTTGTGTCTCTTGTTCTTATAGAAGCCCCTTCCTTGTACAATCCCTCCTCTATTCTTTCTTTTAATTTTTTTTTTATTGATTTAAGAGAGAGAGGAAGGAAGAGGGAGAGCGAGATAGAAACATTGATGAGAAAGAACATCGACTGGCTGCCTCCTGCATGACCCCCACTGGGGATCCGGCCCACAACCTGGGCATGTGCCCTGACTGGGAATCGAACTGGGACCTCTTGGTGCATGGATCTACGCTCAACCACTGAGCCACACCGGCCGGGCCCCTCCTCTGTTCTTGTTCTCAACATTCTCTTGGTCTTTGGCTTTTGACAGTTTGATTAGAATATGTCTTGGTGTGGATTGAGTTTATTCCATGTGGAGCGTTTTGAGCTTCTTTTATGTGTGGCTTCATGTTTTTTATTAACACCCAGCCAGACAGTTGACAATTCTTCCCTCTTCTTCACTTCCTCTTTGCTCCGAGCCTCAGGGTCAGCCGGAGGTGATCACTCAGGGCCCTCCCAGGTCTCTCCTGGGTATCTGCACAGCCTCAGGCGTGCACACAGCCTTTAAGATTCCCTTGTGGGCATCTCATTCCCCAGCTTCTCCTCTGATACTTTCTGCTTAGTCTGTGGCCTGCCCCAATTCTTATTCACCACCTCAGACAGCAGCTACTAAATCATTTGCCTATAACTGTTTCCCCCCAGTGTACCCCCAAAGAGTGGCTTGAGGTTGTATAGCTTCTGGGCCCTCCCTTTGGAGAGCTGTGTTTACATGAATTCTCTAGCTGGTCCTCTCCTGGGGCTGCTGGCCTTTTCCCCGCCTTTGGCTTTGGCACAGATACTTACCATACGTATACCGGGCACTCAGGAGTCTCTCTTCTTTCTGACTGAACTGCAACAGAATCCTCCATTTTCACCTATGTCCTAATGTTTATCCTGGTCACCACTGTCACTATGACTCTCACCCCGAGTGTATATAACTGCTGTTAATAAAATGCTTACAATCCACGCTGTCATTAATATAATAATGATCATTAGTGTTCTTCACTTTGTGCCATCTCACCTGTGGTCGCAGGACTGGTAGCACATTTTACCTTTAGATAGGCACCCCTTTCGTCTTCCCCTCCATGCTCACCCCTTCCCCTCTGTGCTTTGTTAGGTGGTGCTGCCTTCCTTGGAGGGCTCAGTTCTTGTCAGTACAGTGTTCTGATTTTGGTTTGAAAGGAATTCTTGGGCTGCAGACACGCCAGTGGAACGGCCTGTTCCTACCTGGAAAATTGAGGGCATTGATGTCCATGACCTCCTCAGGGTCTCCCACTATGGAAGTAGCTGTGCTACTTCCCCTCCCAGGATAAGAAGCTGGCAGGTAATGTTGGTCGCTCATCCGATTGACATTCACCAGTCACCATTTAAGTTGGGTGGCCCTGAGGCCCTATTTGATTTCCCAGGCCTCCAGAGACTCCAGTGCCATGAAAATATCGATGCATTTTGAAAACATGCATTTTGTCAATGCTGGGAGTGAGGGAGGGGAGTTGACGGCACCAAAACGGAGAGATGGTAACAGGCTTCTGGAAGCTAGAAGGTAGATGAGAGCGATTTGATGGATGCGAGGGGTGAAGAAAGTCACAACCTAGAGGACAGCCTGAAGCAGCAGTGGGACAGCGCACCTGCCTGGGGGACCACAGCGCCGCCGTGTGGCTGACAGCTCCAGGGAGGGGCCTTGGCAAGCAGGCTGGAAGCGGAGGGTGAAAGCAAAGCAGGTCTTTAGAGTCTGGTGCACCCAGTGAGACCCTAGCCTGCTTTTTTGTAAAGAAAGTGATGGAAATGAACGGTAAACCCAGGCTTCTAGTGTGGCTGGCAGCAACCCAGGTGAAACCCGTATCTTTCTGACTCTGAGGGTCCAGGGCATGCCGGCCGCCCGCCTGCTCGGCCCCTGCAGAGCTCGTCTGGTGGGAGCGCAGACTCTGCAGGGAATGGCGCCTCCAGCAGAGCGCAGCAGGGCCAGCGCGTGAGAGAGAAGCCAGACCTGGCAAAGCAGGCTAATGGATCATTCAGAGAAATGAACTTTCCAACAAACTGGATTTAACATACTCAGTAAAGCAGGACCTTGAATAATGTCCTTTTATTATAATGTTGATAAGATGCTATTTTATCCATTAGCCTCTGGTAAAATTGGTTTCATTATACGCTGTTCTACCTAGGATCGCAGAATCTATCGACATTAAGTGAGGACTTACTGTATCATGTCCAAGTGAAAACCAACAAGGAGAAAAACAAGCAAATACTCCTGGAAGTTAAAAAGGCTTGCCAAAGTGTCGAAAAGTCAGTAAAAAGGGTAGAAAATAAAACGAGGGAACAAATCTCTAAGAATAGAAAGAAAACAGATAAACAAAATGAAGACAAAAGATAAGTAATGCAGAGGCCCCATCTAGGCTCTCCAGAGAAAGAGAGGAAGGAAAATGGAGGGGGGAGGATACTAGTGAAGCAACAGGGGAGCAGAGATGAGAGGGTGAGTCTCCAGATTCCAAGCCTAGAGCAGATGGAACCAAAAATACACGTCCCCAGGCCCGCCCACCCTTCTGAAGGCCGGAGGAGCAGGGATGCAGGGCTAGGGCACGAGCTTCCAGAGAGAAAACCTGCGGCCTCCAGAGGCTGATGTCTGCGCGCATTTGGAAGGCCTGGGGCTTCCGGCCTAGCATCTCAGACCCAGCCAAGCTCAGCCAAGAGAGGGCCAGGTACTGTCTCGAGCCTGGGACAAAGGGGGCAGATGTCTGCGCGCATTTGGAAGGCCTGGGGCTTCCGGCCTAGCATCTCAGACCCAGCCAAGCTCAGCCAAGAGAGGGCCAGGTACTGTCTCGAGCCTGGGACAAAGGGGAGATATGTGAATTGATTTAGCAGCTGGGATGGGGGTAGCCCTGGGAGAGCAGTCGGCTACAGGGTCTAGAGGTTGGGTAAACCTAAGGATTCCGTGAAGGCAGATGATACCCAGAGTGACTTAGGAAGACCCCATCTGTGGAGAAATGTGATTGCAACAGGAAGGGTGCTAATCTGACCCCAGTGAGAGCATTGATGCTAATTGGGGAGGGTCGTCAGGGCCAGTCTGGGGTGGGCCAAGCTTGGTCCCAGCTCTGCTAGGAGTCTGCTTACTTCAGCATCTCCCTGAGACCGGTCACCCTGAGGCACACCCCATGATTACTGAGCTTCAGAGTCATTCTTGGGATGGGCAGAACTAAACGCCAGTGAACTACCTTGCGATGTGGATGGGCGAGGAGGCAGGGACACAAGTTGGTGGAGGAAGGAATAGGTGTCTATTTTAGGTAAGGCACTACCACCATGGAAACTCCCGTACCCAGGGTCGGGGAGAGGAGTGATCTCGTCTCCACATTCCATGCCCACTGGCCATCATCTGAAGCTGGTACCTTGAGAGACAGGTGCATGTTGTGGCAGTGTCCACCCCTGAAAGCAAAGCAACAAGTCATAACGAAGGCTCATGTCCTTTGATTTGTGTTTGATTAGATCACAAGCCCCGCCCCTGGGGGGGAGGCAGGGGCCTTCTGTCTGTGCATGACCCTCACTGCCCTCCAGCACGAGGCGCTCTCCATCCCCTTCAGCAGCTCCGGGTTCAGCTGTTGCTGGTTCACTGTGGGAGTCAGGTCCCTTGGCTGCAAGCCCCTTGCCAGCCAGGGGCGGGGTGGGGGGGAGCAGGATGGGAAGCGCTAGACTCACTTTGAGGTTTGTATTTTTTTTTTTGCTCTGCAGCCACCAAAATGGACGAACTGACCCAGAAATATAAGCTCCTCAGTGAAAGTCTGAACAAAGGCCTGAAGTAGTCTGGAAGCAGGAGGCTGGTGCCCTGAAGAACCAGGCGGCCGGGGAGGACCGAACCATTGGCAGGAGAAGCAGTTACAGCCTCCGTGTTCTTCGGCATAGCCTCCAGATACCTGGGCCTTCAGCTCCTTGGGAGGGGGGAGGAGGAGGGGCAGGGGAATGTGAGCTGGAGAAAAAGAAAACATAGGTTAGAAGAAGTCGCCTCTAGCCTGCTTTTTGCTTCTATGGCTCTGCGTGACGGCCTCCTTCCTTCTGCTATCTGGCCAGGGCTGAGTGGACCATGGTGCCTGCTGCCCAGTCCTCCCTTCACATCCTGGCTATCCCAAGGCCTGGGCCACACCTGACATCAGCCTCTTGCTGTCCTGGGGGCCTGGGCCCTGCCCCTCTAGTGCCTTGTCTGCCCTGGGCACTAGTAGCTCCTGTTGCTTCGCTCTTTGCCCTGCCTCTGCCCAGTTAAGCTTGTCAATGCCAAGTGCTGGAAGTCTCCACCTTGCAATGACACCTGGCTGCCTGTGACCAGAGCATGCCCCCTCCCCGACTGCAGCCTCTTCCTGTGATCAGTCTCAGGGTCCCACGTGAGGACTCCTTGCAGTCCCTCATCCCCGTCCCTTGCACACACTACCTCTGGGCTCCAGTGGGCCGGCCCATGTTTCCACTTCCCTCCTCTCCAGGGTGCCTGGTATCAGCCAGGGGAATTCTTACTGGTGACCTGACTGGTTGTCCAGGAAGCTGATCTCTGGGCTTTTCAGGGTGACCCAATATCTTCCTGAGCAGTGTGCCTGTCATAGCCACCTCCCTCCCTGCTAGCACAGGAACAGGTGCAACTGGTGGAGCCCCCGCCTTCCTCAGCCCAGGGTCAAGCCGAAGTGGGGTCGGGGAGGGGCCTCCCTCTAAATTCTTGGCCTGCTGGGGAGGCCCATTCTGGCCGCCAGCCTCACTTGCACCCTCTCTGCCTTGCTCCCTGCAGCTGCACCTTTGTTTCCCCAAGTCTCTGGTGGGTGCTGCAAACTGGAGGTTTCTGGGAGCCGGGCACCAGGCCTCCTCCTAGAGCCCTTGGCCTCAGATGCCTGCCTGGGGCATCCCCCAGACAGCTACAGTGGGAGGTGGGGAGACAGGTAGGCCCATGGTCACCAGTGCCCAGGTGCTCCAACTTAATAGGCCAAGTGCTCAAGAACGAGGTTCTCAGATGATGCCACCTGCTTCCTGGACCAGGGTTGGCCTTGACTCTGTCCTTCACCCTTGACTGAACCTGGTGTGCTGGGAAGGCCCTGAAGCCCAAGGTCTGAGGGCCTGGGCTTCACTCTTGCTCCCATGGTCCTGAGGCTGTGGGTGCCGCTGGGGCAGCCCCCCCCCCCCCAACCCTTCACATTGCTCATTCTTCAGAGGGGAAGGATCAGCTCAGCTGAAGCCCACGTGGCTCAAAGGGCCAGGCCTCGTGCCTCCCTGCCTCTTAACTCAAAGCCTCTGCTAAAGGATTCTTAGATATGGGTCATTGTACCCGTGAGGCAGAGACCATTCCCCCTTCCTGGTCACAAGGTGGGTAAGCTGCCCCCAGTCACTGGGGTGCTACTGAAACTCCATCCTTAGAGCACACCCTTCTTCATGGCCAACTATGGTGTGTGCAGGTGCTTCTTTCCCACTCCAAGGTCACCTTATCCTCACGAGAGGCAGCCTGGTCCCCTATGAAAAGGGGAACTGTTCCCTGGAGAAGAGACCTTGTGCCTTTGTGAGAGGTTCCCTAGCATGGAGCTGGGCACTGAAGCCAGAGTGGCCAGGCCCAGCTGCTGTGGCCCGGCCAGCTCACACTTGGAAAGAGGGCTGAGCGGAAGGCTCGGGCTTCCTCCTTGTGCTTGTGATGACATGTCCTTAGCCCATGGCCAATGGGCTGGTGGAGATTCTGCTTTGGGAGCCTGCTTTCCAATTTGTAAACATGGGGCGTGTATCGTGGTGGCTGTGAGCAAGTAAGAGGGTGGCGAGCCGGCCACACAGGTCCTGCGGCCTCAGGCCTCCTTGTTGCTCAACAGGCGGCTGAGGGCGGGCCACGGCTGCTCATTAAAGGCCGCCTGGAGCAGCCTGTGCGCAGGAGACAGGTGCCCAGCAGCCCAGGAAGCCGCCACAGCGTCCGCCCCAGGTAAGCCAGCGGGGCTGGGTTGGCGAGGACAGCCACTGAGAGCCTGCAGGCAGGTGGAGGCCAGGTTGGGGCCAGCACTTGGGTGCCAGGGAGGCTGGGGATGACCGAGGCTTTCTCAGGTGCCTGCTTCCTGGCAGCTGACCCTAAGGGTGCAGGCTCTGCCTGAGGCTCCTGGCCACAGTGTCTCAGTGAAGATACCATCCTGGGCTGTACCTCCCCGCTTTCCCAGTGACATGGACCTGAAGGCAGGAGGCAGAGGCCTCTGAGCAGGGGTCTGGGCACATCAGATCTTCCTGATGCCATTTACTAAGTGGTAATGGAGATGACCAAGGAGGGGCTGGGGGCCAGAGTGGAGGGGGTGATGAGCCCCTAGCAGGTCTCATCCTGGACAGAAGTAACAGACCCTGGTCACTGGGTTCTAGCTCTGGAGGCCCCTTAGCAGTCTCCCTGGATGTGGGCCTCAGAAATTGCTCCTAGAGCCTCAAGTCTTATCAGATGGGGTGGGGGTGGCACAAAGTAGACCCAGAGGGGTTGGAGCCTTAGCCACTGGGATGCCTGCAGGTGGCTGGGCCAGGCATCTTCATCTCTGGCCCTTAGGCTTTGTACCTCTTGTTCTAGCAGCTTTAGGTGTCACTATCCCTGTGAGAACACCATGTCTGAGGTCCCCCGGGCTGAGACCTTTATCTTCCTGGACCTGGAAGCCACTGGGCTCCCCAATGTGAACCCTGAGATTGCTGAGATCTCCCTTTTTGCCGTCCACCGCTCCTCTCTGGAGAACCCAGAGCGTGATGAGGCTGGCATTCCTGTACTGCCCCGGGTCCTGGACAAGCTCACGCTGTGCATGTGCCCAGAGCGCCCCTTCACCTCGAAGGCCAGCGAGATCACTGGCCTGAGCAGCGAGAGCCTGGCACAGTGCCGGAAGGCCAGCTTCAACGAGGCCGTGGTACGGACGCTGCAGGCCTTCCTGAGCCGCCAGGAGGGCCCCATCTGCCTTGTGGCCCACAACGGCTTTGATTACGACTTCCCCCTGCTGTGCACGGAGCTACAGCGCTTAGGTGCCCACCTGCCTCGGGATACCACCTGCCTGGATACACTGCCAGCACTGCGGGGCCTGGACCGTGCCCATAGCCATGGCACCCGGGCCCAGGGCTGCAAGGGTTACAGCCTGGGCAGCCTCTTTCACCGCTACTTCCAGGCAGAGCCTAGTGCAGCCCACTCGGCTGAGGGAGATGTGCACACCCTGCTTATGGTCTTTCTGCACCGTGCTGCCGAGCTGCTTGCCTGGGCTGATGAGCAGGCCCGCAGCTGGGCTCACATCAAGCCCATGTACACACCACCTGATGACCTGAGCCTCGAGGACTGAGTGCCAGGGGCTCAGTGACATCACTATCCAGGGGGACAAGGCCCACTTCCTGCACCACAAGCAGCACCAGCCTTGACTGTTCAGCCGGACTTTGAGGCATAGAGCAGGCACTGGACCAATGCCGCGCTGCCTCGCCACCATCCTCTTAGCCAGGCATCCTCTTAGCTGGGTATTTGCCAGGCCTTCCCTGGGCCCTGGCCTACCTGGTCCTACAGCCTCACCTGGCCCACTGGAGTTTGCTAATTTGGGCTCCCACCCTTCACCCTGTCTCACAATAAACATTGCCAACTGTTCACCATCTGACTTTCTGGTCACAACCCCCCATGTCTGGCCCTGAGGGGCAGGCAGGGAGCCCAGTCAGGGGCCAGGGGAGAGCCCCTCAGGGCCAGCCCCTTGTGGCCTATCCATGCAGTGAGCCCAGGGGTGGGGCAGTGGGTGGGAAAGATGTCAGTGTTCACAGGCTGTGGACCCCGAACCACAGGCCTCCTCCCTGGCTGATCTTTTACCTTTGCCTCAATTATCACCTCCTCCCTGCATTGTCACCTCAGAGACCCAAGAAATGAGTAAACAGGGACTTAGGGATATCTGTAGTGGCCCTGAATCTGTGCCCTGATGGGAGAAGAAAGAAGGAGCTGCTGCCCCAGCTCCAGGGAGCTCCGGCTTTATCAGCCCAGGTGCTGAGCCCACAGGTACAAAGCTCAGCTCCAGCACTTGCCCCCTACAGGACCCTGAGCCACCTCCTTCCTCTCCCGGAGCCTCCGTGCCGGCTCTGCAACAGGATGCAATGATTAGGCTGGCACAGCAAAACAGTGCCTGGCACGATTGGGGTGCTGGGGAGGAAGGAAGGTACTCACAGCCACAGGCAGGCACATACGTACAAAGGGCCCACGAGTGTGCGGGGTGAGGGTATGATGGGGGCTCCAGGCTGCACCTAGAGGCAGGCTGGGCTGCATGGCTGACCTGAGGCATGTAGAGGAGGTGGGGTAGGCAGTGCAGTGAGGGCGACACCTAGCAAGGAGTCCGTCCTGGGCCCTGTGTCCCTCATGACATGACCGGAGGAGGGCCAGGAGGCAGCTCTGTGGGGAGGACAGCTTCTCGGCAGCTGCTTCAGCTGGGCTTCTTGGGGAGCCAACTAACCTGCTTCTGGGTGCCCCACCTGTGTCACCAAACAATGGGGCAAGGCAGGGGAGGTATGTTCAAGAGACAGAGAGAGCAGATGAGAAGGAGTGGGGTGGGTGGGGTGGCCACACCCGAGAATGACTCGCATGAACAAAGTCTTGAGTCTTGATCCAGCTGGGCCCGTTTGGGGAACCTTAAGTAGGTCAGTGACTAGAGCCACTACAATGTGCAAGGTGGCAGAATGGTGAGGCCAGATCACAGGCAGTGGCCATGTCAGGTCATCCTCATTGCCTGGGCCATAAAGTCTGGACTGACCCTGAGAGCAATGGGTAGCCACAGAGGGCTGTAAGCAGAAGAGGGGCAAGATCTGGTTCCCGTCTTTATAACACCTCTCAGACTGCTGTGTGGAGGAGAGCAGGCCTGGGAGGGGGAGGACAGCAACTGAGAGAGAAAGGAGTAAAGGGATTGGGGCCTGGCCAAAGGCAGGATGGAAGGGGTGGGGAGGGTGGGAAGTAAGGGGAAGACCATCAGGGGCTAGTTTGAGAGCATGGTCTGTGCTCTGCTGAGCTTCCTGAGGAGAATTAGTTGGCTCTCTGCTCCAGGACAGCACCGACCTCGGAGGGTGCCACAAGGCTGGGCTAGGGTGAAGCCTCAGGTCAGAAGCCTGCACCAAGCAGGAGCTGAAAGAATTGGGGAGCCATGAAGATCTAGGCAGCCAGGGCTCCTCAGATCCCCTGGTGCCCAGGCAAGGCCAAATCCCCTTTATCTCTTGCTGTCCAGGCTCCAGGCCACTGACTCACTGAGTGGGTGATGCCAAGAGGGTCGCTTCTCACTCGGCAGGTAAGCCAGGAGGGGATGGACTCCAGGGCCTGATGAGCAGGTTGACACCCCAATTCATGACCACTGCCATTGCCCCAGAGTGGTGTCTGGTTTTGTGCCCTCTCATCTTTTGTAGGCCCAGGTGCCTCTCCCTCATCACTCTGAGCTCTCATGGTGGCCTGGCCTTGGGTGCCCTCCTGAGCCCATGCTTGAACTGGCCAGGCCCGACTTAATGCCTCTGTGCTGCACAGACAGGCTGAGGCCTGACACTGCTGCCTAAAAGCAGTGATGTGCTGATAAGTGGGTGACCACAGCTTTCCAGGAAAGTAAATGCAAATCTCTTTCTCTCGCCCTGGCTGGTTTGGCTGAGCAGTTGGAGTGTCGGCCTGCACACCAGAGAGTCCCGGGTTCAGTTCCTGCTAGGGGCACATACCAAAAAAAATCTCTCTCTCTCTCTATATATATATATACACACTCACACACACACACACACACACACACACACACACACACATATATGATCCCAAAAATGTATACACAACTTTGAATAATTATAAAGCCAGTGTTTATTAAAATACATTTCATTTCCAAAATGTAATGGACTCTACAGACACCCTGTATACATTTTTTGGACACCATGTATATATAAATATATATAAGTTTATTATAAATTTTACTGATATGAAGGATGTGAGCACACAATTTACAAAGAATAAAATCTCCAATATATGCAAAATATACAATCACATATACAATACACTGTTTATAAATTTCATATGGTCAGTTGATTCTCACAAATCCCCTTCGTTGATGACTTTCTGCCAAACTCTTGTATCTGTGCCCCACCCACAATTGCAACTGATGAGTGAGCATGGTTCCCACGTTAATGTTGGTTGATATTTTCATTTGTCTTAATGAGTAAGACAAAAGTGAAACAACAAAGATGTATGTCAGAACTTCACACGTTCGTTGGTGACATGAGTGACTCCTTTGCTGAATTGGATACTTTTTAAAAAATATGTTTTTATCGCCCTGGCCAGTTTGGCTCAGCGGTTAGAGCGTCGGCCTGCGGTCCGGAGAGACCCGGGTTCGGTTCCCGCTAAGGGCACGTACTTCGGTTGCAGTTTGTCCCCGGCCCTGGTTGGTCGTGTGGGTGGCAGCCACTCGATGTGTCCCTTCACGTCGATGTTTCTCTCTCTCTCTCCCTTCCTCTCTCCCCCTCCCACTCTATCTGTACAAAAAATGGAAAAATATCCTCGGGTGAGGATAAAAAAAAAAAAAAAAAAAAAATATGTTTTTATTGATTTTAGAGAGGAATGGTGAGGGGGGAGAGAGAGAGAGAGAGAGAGAGAGAGAGAGAGAGGTGAGAAAGGAGCATCAATCCGTTGCCTCCCAGATGCACCCTGACCGGGAATTGAATCCGACGAAACCCCTGGGTATGTGCCCTGACTGGGAATCGAACTGGCAAGCTTTCGGTGCACGGGATGACGCTCCAACTAACTGAGCCACACTGGCCAGGTCTGGATAATACTTTTTGATATTGGAAAAGTTTTTCTTTCTTTTTTTTTTTTGCTATTCACAATGGAGTGACTACAGACTCAAGTGTACATAATCAACCAAACAATAATAGTTCAAGCTCTGGTTTGTAGCATGTACTGATTCCCACGGTGTAAATTTCAGGCTGCACATGATGCCAGTGAATGTGAAGTTGAGAAGAGATTCCCGGTAGCACACTGTAACATAGATTACCACCAAGTGGATAGGACAGGTAATAGTAAAATGTGGTGAAATAAGACATGAGTTTTGAGTATCTCCCATGGTTTTAATATAATTTATTTAAGTGGAAGTTATATAATTTAATTTTTAGTAATTGTGGTGTTTAACTCTCAAAATTCCTGAATATTTAACATCTACTAACATGGTGAAAATTCAGTAGACCAAGCACACGAAGTGTTGGTGAAGATGTGGGGGAACTGGAACTCTCAAACATTGCTGGGGGAATGTAAGATGATACAATCACTTTGGAAAAGTTTGGCCGTGTCTTTAAAAATTAAACATGCACCTACCGTAATCTTTGGGTAAATAAGTGCCCAAAGATTCATTACCCAAGAAAAATGAATTAAATGTGTCCACACAAAGACTCGCACACTGTTCCTGGCAGCTTTATTTATTACAGCTCCAGACCGGGAACAACCCAAATACTCAGGGGATGAACAGTGGGGTAAAACCGAGGCATGTCCACACCAGGGAACTCTGCTGAGACGGACATACATGGTAGTTTGCAAGGGCTGGGACTTACAGTAATTATGCTGGCTGACAGGTGCCAGACCCAAAGGACCAACTCTACTGCTGCAGCTCTCGCCCTGGCTAAGCACATGCCCCTCATAAAATTCATCACTGGCTGGTAAGCCACATCACTGTCTGCCCATGGGGATGTGGGTATGATTAGGACCATACTTGGGGGACATCTGACCCAAGCCAATGGGAACCAGAATTATTGCAGAGGGATGAGTACCAAAGTAACAGGGCCAGAAGCATTTCTGGGTCTTCTTTGCGCAGGAGACAATGTGAGGACCAAATTTCAACCAGGCCATGCAAAAACCTGGAGCAGAAAGCTAGAGACATGGAATGGGCTGGCCCTCCTGCGTTGTTTTCTTGGGGAAACGGAAGTGGCTGGATGTTGGTGTTCGCTGTAACCAACGCTGTGCAGGGTTCACGCAGTACCCATGAGTGTCTGAAGAAAGATTCACATTGGAGACCGCCATCCCCCAAGAGCAGCTTTGGCATGGTGGGGACCCTGCTTTTGCACCTCAGCTTGTACACACTGCACCTGACACACACACAAACGCGCACACTCACTCACTTGCAACTCCCCACTTTTCCTCACCACTCACATGCACCTTCACTCACACCACATACTCCCCATTCACACTCACACACACACTCACATGGGTCTACACACCCCACACAGAGACAACCCTCACTCCCACACATTTGCTCCCTCCACCCCCCACATGTTTACATACACCTTATTCACACTGCCCCCCCACACCTACACACACACTCACTTATGATTTTGTTTAAATGGGATCTTGTTAGATGTCCCTTTAAAAAAAGTTATAAACACCTTTGCTGTTGCAGAGTCTGTAAAATCCATTTCCTCTAGGTGTTCAAATGCATTGCCATAATTTTTTCTGTTTCTTCAGTATTTGCAGTGATATCTCCTTTGTCATTTATACATTCCATTGGTCTTTTCCAAGAAAAAAAAAAAACATAGGATTTTGATTTTTTCTTTTATTTTCTGCTTCATTAACTCCAGCTTTTA